CCATATCACATGCCATATCAGCCCAATGACCCTATATCAAACCGAGGGCTTTAGCCATGTCACATGTCATATCAGCCTAAGGATCAAATATTAGACTGGGGGCTTTATCCATATCACATGCCATATCAGCCCGAAGATCAAATATCAGATCGAGTTCTTTAGCCATATCACGTCATATCAGCCCGAAGATCCAATATCAGACCGAGGGCTTTAGCCATATCACATGCCATATCAGCTCTAATATCCAATTTGAAACCGAGGGCTTTAGCCATATCACATGTCATATCAGCCTAAGGATCTAATATTAGACCAAGGGATTTAGCCATATCACATGCCATATCAGCCCGATGATCTAATATTAGACCGAGGGCTTTAGCCATATCACATGTCATATCAGCCTAAGGATATAATATTAGACCGAGGGCTTTAGCCATATCACATGCCATATCAGCATAAGGATCCAATATTAGGTCGAGGGCTTTAGCCATATCACATGCCATATCAGCCCGATGATCCAATATTAGACCGAGGGCTTTAGCCATATCACATGACATATCAGCCCGAGGATCCAATATAAGACTGAGGGTTTTAGCCATATCACATGCCATATCAGCATAAGGATCCAATATTAGGCCGAGGACTTTAGCCATATCACATGCCATATCAGCTCTATTATCAAATATCAGACCGAGGGATTTAGCCATATCACATGCCATATCAGCCTAAGGATCTACTATTAGACCGAGGGTTTTAGCCATATCACATGCCATATCAGGCCGATGATCCAATATTAGACCGAGGGCTTTAGCCATATCACATGCCATATCAGCCTGAGGATCCAATCTCAGATCGAGTTCTTTAGCCATATCACATGCCATATCAGCCCAACGACCCTATATCAAACCGAGGGCCTTACCCATATCACATGCCAAATCAGCCCGAAGATCCAATATCAGACCGAGGGCTTTATCCATATCACATGCCATATCAGCCCGAAGATCCAATATCAGACCGAGGGCTTTAGTCATATCACATGCCATATCAGCTCTAATATCCAATTTGAAACCGAGAGCTTTAGCCATATCACATATCATATCAGCCTTAGGATATAATATTAGACCGAGGGCTTTAGGCATATCACATGCCATATCATGCCGAAGATCCAATAATAAAGAATATAAGAAATTATTTCCAAATAAGAAATTGCTAGAATTGCGCTGGGTAACAAATGCAAACAGCGCGAAGCTTTATAAGCCTGCTTTGTGTCATTAGAATGTGGCGTCAAAATAAACACTTACGATTCCAGCACTGTTTTGATGCTCTAATATCTCCGACGTTTTACTTTAATTACTGCTATATGATATAAAAACAAATGGGTTTCATATGAATCAATACTTTCCCTTCTGTCAACTTACGTGTCGAGATTACTGTGGTCCCTACTCCACCGACAGGACTCAAAACCTGCCCGGCCTGTCTCCTGCCTTGACTACGGCAACAGGCGCAGCAGCAACAGATGATAATGGCGATAAATACACCAATTCCTGTGAGACAGCCGATCACTATTCCAGCTATTGCTGCAGTTGAGCTACGAAATAAAAAAAACAAAGGTTTCCTAGATACTACTGATTATATGCTGAAGATGTTAGACAGTGTTGTACAAGGATCACATACATGCAATATTATGAATTGTGACGTGTAAACATTGATGGCCTAAATAACGAACTTTGAATATATATTTTTTTATTTCCAATTCAACAGACCCGTGTGTCCAATTACAAAATGAATAGCAACAATACAACACAAGTATACAATATCACAGTCAGTGTCAGCATGTAACACAGACTAAAAGATACGCATATGTAAAACAAAAGGAATCAGTGATAGCAAATATTCTTTAATATAACATAAATAATTGTCAAGTTTTAAATTTCTTTGTTGGCGTCTATTGTATCGTTGAATACATAATGTGTTATGATTAGCGTTTTGCATATAGATATTTATTTACTGCGGTTGGGGTCGATACAATGATTTAACAACTTGTTAAATATTATAGTCCTCTAGGCTGGAGGCCGAAAGAAATGGTTTGCAATTGAAGGTGCCTCACGATGTCCGTCGCTGCACCAGGTATTCACGTTTCTTTCGTATATGTAACTTACGAAGCATGTGAGACTCTTTACTCAAAGTTAGCCAAGTCTGTTAATTTAAAACATTTTGTTCTTAATAACCATTTAATCCTATGGTAGTCATATTTGACATGTAGAATGTTTGGATAAAGAGCTATCACGTTTGTTCAAATGGCTGACATTGACATACTTTCTAGGTTGAATGGATCAGAACCCTCCTTGTATTTAAAACAAACTCCTGGTTGACCAAAAGTGCAGTGTTCATGATATTTGATAAACAGTTTTCTGAAGTAACAAAAAATGTAAGAATTGTCAATTTTCTTCAAATTAATAACCTTGACCTACTTTCAAGTTCACAGTTGTTAAATGTGTTAAACAATCAAACGGATTTCCCTGATCAACGGAAAAGGCCTGGGGTCATGCTATTTCTTCTGTAACATGCTGGGATAAAGGAACAAAGAGACCAACGTACAGGGATCAACAAGAAATTGTTTTTACGACTTCTTTTAAAATAGTAATGAGGCCTAGGGCCATGATATTTATGATTTTGTATACTACGGTAAAGAAATGCCAAGTTAAGTTAAATGAGCAATCTTGACCCAGCTTTCTAGTTCACATGATCAAATATCTGAATGACTTCTGCAAAACATTAGCAAGATAATTTGAGATTGACATTCTTCGAAAATAAAGGGAACATGTACATGCCTCCTGGACTTGGAGTAAAAAGGATTAGTAACTAATTAACCATATGGAATCAGTGATTGACAGTATATAACCAGTAACTGATCGACTGTATATAACCAGTAATTGATCGACAGTATATAACCAGTAATTGATTGACAGTATATAACCAGTAATTAATCGACTGTATATAACCAGTAATTGATCGACAGTATATAACCAGTGATTGATTGTCGGTATATAACCAGTGATTGATTCACAGTATATAACCAGTAATTGATTCACAGTATATAACAAGCGATTGATTGAAAGTATATAACCAACGATTGATTGACAGTATATGACCAGTGATTGATTGATAGTATATAACCAGTGATTGATCGACAGTATATCACCAGTGATTGATTGACGGTATATAACCAGCGATCGATTGACAGTATATAACCAGTTATTGATTCACAGTATATATCCAGTGATTGATTGTCGGTATATAACCAGTGATTGATTGACAGTATATAACCAGTGATTGATTGACAGTATATAACTAGTAATTGATTCACAGTATATAGCCAGTGATTGATTGACAGTATATAACCAGTGATTGATTCACAGTATATAACTAGTAATTGATTCACAGTATATAGCCAGTGATTGATTGACAGTATATAACCAGCGATTGATTGACAGTATATAACCAGCGATTGATTGACAGTATATAACCAGTGATTGATTCACAGTATATAACCAGTGATTGATCGACTGTATGCAGTAAAACAAATCTTGAAAATTCACAAAATGTACTAACAGAGACGCAGAATAGTAGATCACATCATAGTAGTAGTAGTATATGCCACTGGAACAACAGGAAGCAGCGAGCCCGTATGTTGCGGTACAGCATCTTGACGAGGAGGAACAGTAGGTAGAATCTGTGTAGTATTCTAATCCACCATTATAGTAGCTGTATCTGCTATTTGTAGAATAACAAATGTTTGAGGCAGCTAAACCAATTACTGAAAAAACAAGTTTATATATGACACAGACGCATTTAAAAATACAAACAAACAAGTTTATATATGACACAGACGCATTTAAAAATACAAACAAACAAGTTTATATATGACACATGCGCATTTAAATTACAAACAAAGCATTTATATCAAAAGATAGTAAAAGTGTTTGATGTGGTGAACAACACACTTGTGTATAGAGATCACCTGTCTAGAATGACCATAGTGAAATGGTCCCAGGTGTTTTACTAAATACTGACAACGTGTATCACAAAGTATGAAGATGTAAAAGAGAAAAGCGAGGGAACTCGGAGAAAGACTGCAATAAAAATTTAAAATCCCTACTTTTGGATACAAACAACTAGCCTAGCGGTAAATCGAATTAAAAGCATCAATCAGGAAATGTAAAAGTAGAAAAGTTCCTGAGAGGGATATAATAGAAAATAACTGATTGATCAGATGATATCTTTATGAACACTGATGACTCGATAAAGCTGGCATGCAATATCTAGATAGAAAACGAGGTACCATAAAAGTAGGAACATGTGTCGCTATCAAGTTGCCAGAAATGAGATTTATCAGTCTGCAATAATTGGTAAGCTGTCTCTAGTAGAAGCTGTCATCTGTCAAGTCTGTTTGAGAAAAAACTTTAATCACATGGATTTCATCTTTAGAGATGAAGGGTGATTTCAAGAAATGAAGACCACTTATTGACAACATCTGACCTCTTTAGATCATCACAAAAAAAAATTAGACCCGAAAAACCAGCATGAATCCAACTCATCTGTAAAATAAATTTGACAAAAGTTATAAGCGGAAATCGTCAACAAATCAGAACATAGTATGCCAATTAATAAAGCGCAGATTTTACCCTAGTTTAACTTTAACATTTACAATAGTGTAATATATATTGACCAAGTTCCATCACAGTTCATCATATTTCATTAGTCATTATGTGGAAACTGTTGACCAATCAGGAGGCAATATGCTACTAATAATGCGCAGAGTTTGCCGAACTTCAAACTCAGTTTTTGTCTTTGTATGATTCAAATATCGGCCATGTTTGATTGGATTTCATTCGATTTTACTAGCTCTAATATTGTGCGAAAACGGTGAAGCATTAAGACCGCAGTATTCAATTCATCATGCGTGGCTTTCGCCCAACTGCGAACTGGTCTTAGTTTATGTAAATTAAATACGTTAGCCACATTTCATAAATATGCCTATATTATAAACTTGTAGAAGGCAAACAATATAACATAATGCATAAATACTTCCTGTATGAGGTCATAACGCCTATATAAAGCAGGAACTTTCATGTACAATAGAAAATAATAATTTTGAAAAAAAACCTGACTTATAGGCATACATAACACGAGATAATCAGGAGAAAACGAAGATTTGAAAGTTAAAAACAAGTTAAGTGACATCATTCTGAGGGAAAGACATAACACGCAAAAGATGAGAGTACGGAGACATCTAGCATCTAAGCAGAACACAGAAAATGTCAGATACCCGGGTCCCCGATTGGAGTAATATTTGCATGTCCTGTACAATAAGAATATGAAGTCTTCTGACATGTTTTAAACAAAGTGAGCATATCCTTAAACATGGAGACACTGAAATCCCATGTTAATTAGGCCATAAATACTATCATATAATTTCATCAACTTAGACTAAGGAATCCGATATTAAGTAGGTCATAAAAACCTTGATATAATTTCACTAGCTATGACTATGGAGTCCAAAAACTAAGTAAGTCATAAAGACCATGATATAATTTCAGTAGCTATGACTATTGGAAGCAACTAAATGTTAATTAGGTAATGAAGACGACGATATAATACTATCAGCTTATAGTTTATCAGCTTAGACTAAATGTATATTGTGGGAACCCAGAGGAACACAGCAAACACATTGATTCACCATAAATATTACTTTAATTTTCATATCCATGGTTCACATAAATATAGCAATCTTCCTTACACATAAACAGTGCATACGTCAGGTGCGAGTAGTATACCACCAAAATAGTACACAGAGAAATATACAAAATAGCATATTAGGCAGTATTCTTTTTAAGTATAATATACATATATCGAGTAATCAGACTTCCCCACTGATATCTATACAATATTTAAAAAATGTTATAATGTTCCAGACTAAGGCGCCTGTGTCTGGAACCTCCGTCCAATGCGCTTGTCACTGGGAGAAACGCCTCCTCCACCAAAAGCTTCCTGCCATAAGGACTAGACTATGAGAGGTACAGAGGTGTAAACCTTCACGTTAGGTTTAGACTACAATCACATAGACACGTCTATGTGTATAACATACCAGTTAACTACAATAACCTAGACACATCTATGTGTATAACATATCATTTAACTACCATAACCTAGATATACAGTTATAACTCAATACAATGATAGTCATAACAATTATACCCTAACTGTACAGGTAATTGTGCGGCACATGACGTCTGAGTGGTTTACCGTGAAATCGATCACACGATATATACAATGATATAAATGTACGTACTCCAAGTACACAAACTTATATTCATTGTTTGCATGTGCCTTTTGCTAGACAACCCCACTCGGAACAGGTATTATCACAGCCTCGTATATGGTACAATAGCAGCATACCACCGCTTATCTGTGCGCAGGTACACATTATCGCATGATTTGACCTACATACAACCACTAGTAAACATATAGCTGTTTAACAACATTACACAGAGATAAACTAACAAATGAGGTATACATGGTATATATTTTAACTGATATATACAATACGGCACTTGAACAGAAATACGTATAGTATATTTCTGTCCAAGTTTGTGGCGATTTTCTATTGAAGATCCCCAATCTTTTGTTGCCTTTATACCATCAACATGTATCTATTGGCCATAATTTCATTACTGGTGTTTTAATCAAATAAATGCTCATTTTCGACTAGACATGTATTTGTGTTATTATTGGGCAAAAAACAGAGCAGAGTATATCCTGGGTGAAAATTTTAAATGTCACTCGACACGGAACGTTTTGCCTTTGGATAGTGGATGTGAACACTGTATCGAATAGGTCACCAGCTGAGTCGTCTGTTTGACCCACTACTGATCTTAAAGGGAAAGTGGTCTAGATTAACACCCTACCAGTCATTTGATTTAATATTATATTTAAACTTGTTCATTGGTTCCGGGTACTCATCTCAAGCTGCAGTTTGCGTAGTCTTAGCCACGTAACATCTGTGTATTGTCACCACGTCTGTGTGTCACAGGTACACGGGTTGTCTATTCTCTCTTATGATTCTCGTGTCAAGTTAAATACAGGTAGAGCGCGCAAATGACATATGTCTTTAATAGTTCTTAACTGGTATGTCACAATTGGCTGACACGGGATACATATTGAAAAAAGGTACCTGAAAATGAACATCGAGTAAAGAATATAAATAGCAATATTTCCATTCATTAAACATTTGAGTCTATTCCACTTGAGAACGGAAATGCTAACAATCGTGGACGTCCTCATGTTTGTGTCCTAATCGTCACCATTACTGGTGCCATTTTAAAATTAATGATTGAGACAAAACTTAAATCATAATTGGTTATTTGAAATGATACATTTAACCACAATTCATTTGTAAGCACTATCTGTCAATATGTGTCATGATGCCTTATAACAGAGTTCTATCTTCGTATTACCGCTAACGGGAAACACACGAGACTTCGTGAAGTTTTATCAGATGTTGACTTACTCGTGAATTTTACAAATGACCAGATATATGACTTGTGTATAAGGGTTTGTATTAAATAGTGTTTATATAATAAGAGGTATGGGTGCTTATTGCCACCGAAGGCCGTTCAGGTGATTGTAACTTCGTCTTTGTAAATTCTACCTAATGCATATGTCCCATATAAGGTTATGTATAGTGTATGTAACGTAAACATTAACATATATAGCATGAATCAATCGAACGCACCGAAGCTACGTGAACAACCCTTCCATGTCCATGTAAAGCAAAGGACAATTTACAGTGTTGGTTCTAGATTCAAAATGTCGTTACTACCCAGGCTGTTTACTAACCAGGCTGTTTACTACCTGTTTACTACCCAGGCTGTTAACTACCGAGACTGTTAACTACGCAGGCTGTTAACTACCGAGACTGTTAACTACGCAGGCTGTTTACTACCCAGGCTGTTTTCTACCCAGGCTGTTAACTACCCAGACTGTTAACTACGCAGGCTGTTTACTACACAGGCTGTTAACTACCCAGGCTGTTTACTACCCATGCTGTTAACTACCCAGGCTGTTACCCAGGCTGTTTACTACCCATGCTGTTAACTACCCAGGCTGTTTACTACCCAGGCTGTTAACTACCCAGACTGTTAACTACGCAGGCTGTTTACTACCCATGCTGTTTTCTACCCGGGTTGTTTTCTACCCAGGCTGTTTTGACTCTATTTGGTTTACTACCCAGGCTGTTTTGACTCTATTTGGTTTACTACCTAGGCTGTTTTGGTTTTCTAACCAGGCTGTTTTCTACCCAGGCTGTTTTGACTCTATTTGGTTTACAACCCAGGCTGTTTTGACTCTATTTGGTTTACTACCCAGGCTATTTTGACTCTATATGGTTTACTACCCAGGCTGTTTTGGTTTTCTAACCAGGCTGTTTTGGTTTTCTAACCAGGCTGTTTACTACCCAGGCTGTTTTGATTTTCTAACCAGGCTGTTTACTACCCAGGCTGTTGTGAAGAGTTGCTTCCTTGTATCGTATTTAACATGATTTGTTATTGTCAGAACACAGCAACATTCAAACAATTTGGTGAATTTTTACAAATATTTTTATTTTTTGTATGAATCGATGTAGTTGATAGTGATAAATGTATATGTTACACCAGTCAACCTGACCTTATTAGCAAATATAGCAATCTACTGTATTATACAGATTTTGTCAACATGTTCTGTTTTGTACTTCTATAGCAATGGTATAAATATCTATCATTCATTTTTGTGTAGCGTTTATCAATCTGCAACGCAGATAACACCAGAAGAATTTTAAAGTGGCAACGTATTACACAATAATATACGTACATAAAACGATGTGGTGATATTAGCAAAAAGACGTTTTGGATTCTGATATCCAATTAATGAACAAGTAAATTGTTGTTTAAACATACATATGTATTCCTTTTTATCTGTTTAAAAACATCTATAAAGGACCTTACTAATGAGAGTATAATTAAAAATACTCACCCGAAAAGGAAATGGCTAGGAAAACGACGCCGGAGGTGTAAGTCGCCATCTTGTTATACCGAAAACGTGATCAGGTAGTTAGATTACACAAGGGACATACACCTTCCGTACAGGTGTGACCCTATTTTACTGATAACTCTTGGAGATATGAGAATTTTAGGTAGGACGTACACGGACATATATCCTCATATCTAACTGAACATTCATAGCTCGACGATTTCCTGTCATGCTCAAAACTTGTGGATTTTAAAATTCATTATTTTTAAAGTCTTCTTTAAAACAGAAATATGAAAAAATGTGTTTTATAATATTTTCACTAAGCGCGTGTTTTTATTTTCCGTAATAAAGGCACTGAACCTGTAAAAGTTGTATGAAAAATAACCTTTGTACATTTCAGAAGGCCATTAGTTAAAACCTTAGTTGTCTATTATAGCCAAATGAATATTCACCTACTCAAATACCAAACAATTCACCGATACATTGTACCATACACTGACTCATATAATCTGCTATTGTAAAGCAATCCGACTTCTAATTTTCTGTTCAACTAAAGAATTTTTCATTTCTGTGATTGTAATCGTATAAAAGCTGTGAACTTAGGACATAGCTTAAAAGTTAAGAACAGGTTAATCTAAAAAGACTTTATAAGATATAAGAAGATGACACGCATTAAATAAAACCTTGTTACTCATACAACGGTATGAACCTCTCATGTTGTATAGTAACCACCACACTCGATACTGCTGGGGTTACGCTCACATCCGCTCATTGCACCCCTGGAATAACAATATCGAAGGCTCAGTGTGCACCACCTTGTTCATTTGATGTACATCAAAAGAATTTGTCGGTCGCGTAGCGGTAAAATTAACTGTTTCTTAACATTTTCTTCATGTTGGTAAGTATGGACTATGAGAAGGTTTTTTTTACAAAACCAATAAAATTGGACCAAGTGTTAACAAAGCGTATCTGAATTGAGTCATTTCGGTACATATATAACAACTATTGTACATACGTTTCCAGCACATACGTAGCCGAAATCGACATCGATTTTATGGACAGCTCGTACAGATTTTACACCTTTGTGTGCATACGCTTCATTGGTCATTTGTCTGATGAAGGTGACAATGTACATTTCGTACTAGTCATCGAAACGTCACATAGAAAATTTTATTGGTTGTGTAAAAAGAAATTCTCACAAGTACAATTAACTGGTTTTGAAGTCGGGTAACGCTCCTCTGAAAGGACATTTATCAGCTTAACGATTGGTCAAGTTTCTTAACCGGACACCAATCAAATAGCTAGCCGATTGCCGTCAATTTTGCTATGGCATGTTCCAGGGGTGCAGAGAGCGAGAGTGAGCGTAACCCCTTGTGTATCAGGAATGAGCACCTTTGAACTGCGAAGTTTAGTAGCTTTTTGTGTATTTCGCCGCCTGTTCAAATATCTTTGTGAAATTATACTTATTCTTCATGACAAACACCATCGACAAATATATGCATTGCATTTTTCTTCATTCCGCATCATATATCTCTACAGTTTTTCCCGATTTCTGATTTTTCCAACTGAATTGGGCTGCAAAGGTTTTCGAAGACTCTACAACCCTGTATCGGTTTTCAATGACTGGACAATTGTTTTATAGTTGTTCCTGTCTCACTTAGTGAGCTGGTCAAACAAACAAAAACTCAGCGATTCTTGTAACTATGGTAACAGCTGATCAGAGCGGTTGTTTTCATTCAATTTGCACCCGTCTTCTATAGTTTTGAACCTGCTAAATCATACCTTCCATGTCTCTTTCTCTGATAATGGTGGGAGGTATTTCGTGCTATTCCTTGACCGGGCTAAATCTTATTTTGTATATTTTATTAATATCAGTGCCAGTTGATTTAATGTGTATTCTACTCCATCTTCTTTCATATGAACTGGGTGAGCTATATGTCAGGACACTGGGTAATGTAGATAGAATGCTAGACCTTTCGGCTTTCTGCACTTGTGTCTTGATGTTTTGTTGGCATATTTCTCTTCACAATTGTTTCCATTGTCAATTGCTGACAGTCGATGACTTCTAAAAATTAAAAAAAAATGATGATTCGTTGTCACTGTCAATTCTGTGGAGGTATTTGAGATAACTTGAAACAAACAGTTGCACCCACAATATAACTAGTAAAACCGACCAGTATTAAATGACTCTGTCAGTGTGTGCCAATACTTATTTGAGGAATTTGCCACTTTTAATACGAAAAACTATTCAATTTCGCTGAAGTCTACAAGTATCCCATCTCGAGCATTAAATAAATATGGCTTCTTCACTACTAAAGCTACATTTTTTGAATGCTTCTGCGTAAACAATGTAGTCCGTCCTTACAGAGAAGAAAACATCTTTCACAGTGTATAACGTATTTCATCTACAACATTAAGAATCTAGCATCAAAACAATATATATAGCGACAAAACATAATAATAAAAAAAAGAACCAGGGTGTCACTTGCTTTAGTGCGCGAATGAATACATTGCTGTGTCGAACTGTCGTGGAAAGATTTCAGACAAATCTGACGAAGCACGAGGTTTCACGTGAGATTTCCCTATCTGAGGTACAACAACTTTTTATTTTGTCATATACCCTTTTTGTCAGAGAGACTTCTGTACTTTGTCACACAGACTTATTTTCACACAGAATTTGTCTCTATCACAATACAGACCTCTGCATCATGTCTCTGTATCTCTATTACAGTCCTTGGCTAAGCAGATAACTGACTGCTCAACAAAAATTCGACAAGAATACCCAACTCTACAAGAAATGAATATCAATGGCATCTTTCTATTATCCCTAAGATGTAGAAACACATGTAGCACAACAGTTTGACAGGCCTCAATCGTCAGTATGATAAATGACGCTTAATGTTTATCCATGTACATGTCGATAATCATCACTAAAATCATTAAGTATTTATGCTGAACTCGATTCATATAGAATCACATACTTTTCGTCTTTTAACTTATATCAAACTCTAATCATTACAATCCTTCAGGTAGAATATTTCATCATCAACCCTTACATAAAACCTGTATGTCTACAAGCTTATCCTTTATCTCATCTGGAGAGTGTAATAACACTATCCCTTGCTATGGTTCCACCTCCAGTACTATCGGAATTGCTCATAGTAAAACCTCTAGTCAGAACCACCAAGGCCTACAATATAATAATAATCTCCGTACACTAATACTGAACTCACTAATTTGAACTAACCATATTAACACTAAAACCTTACCAAGACTTTACATAGATCCCTGTCACTGAATTCATGATTAAAATCACAAATCCTACTGCTGCCACCAAGATTCTACGTGACTGTCAAGTGGTGAAGACTCTGCGTCCAAACTCAATTTCAAAATAACATGTGATAGCGTGGGAACCATGACAACAGAATAGGTGGGTAGTAAACTCTTGTCTTCTATCCAGATACCGACGACTTAAGGGCTATGTTTTCATAAAATGTCCGCCATATTGAAACCCAATGACAGACCCTTCAAAAATCACCAAAACTTTTTATGAATTATTTGAACAAAAATTATTTTGTGAACTGTGTAAATCAAAATCCTCTTCACTACACCTAGCACGCACCTACATCATTATACATTGGGCAAACATTTGCTACAAGGTTGCTTTAATAAATAAAAAAATCAGCAAGGGGGTAACTGTTTGTCGTTATCCTTTTGCCTTGTCGATTCACCATGTTACATAATTTTGAATTTCATGTTCCAGTACATACGATTTCATAAAAGATGCCAGATCCCGCTTCTATATTGATGCAGCATTGTAAAATAGCTTCAACAAACACCAATCAGGAGAGCATGAATGGAAAGGATGCAGTTGATAAAGAAGGGGACACATCATTCTATGATGACCAGATTAGTTTTTTGGCAGGATGGCACTTCGGATAATGACTGGGATGAATCAAGATTTCAAGTCCCACTCAATCCAACAATAGACCGTGATATTACCCGATATGTCAGAATACTGTTGGACCGATTAGCAAATAAAAGTAGAAGAATCATAGGAAATTTCACATCAAACCTTCCAGAGAGCTGGATGAGCATACGGATGAAATTTGATGGAGGAAAAGTTGTGAACCACTGTTACAGAGGCACGCTCGGTGTTATGGGGGTACATTGAGGAAGAACTTTGGAACAGCGTGGTCACCAGTAGTGTCGTATAAGTTGACAGGAATCAGACCAGGACAGGCATTTATATCTTAATATCGCCGTTGGTCCAGAAATCTGCTGCTGCACAGCCGGAAAGCACAGCAAAAGGATGACGTAAAACGGCGCGCAAAGAAAAGGAAAATGCATATCAGCAGCACCAAACGTGCCAGAAAAGAATATGGGAAAGGTGTGGAGGATGCAGTTTATCAGGGAACAACTTCACGTCTTCTGGTTTGAAAGAGGAATCTGCCACCTTTAAAGACTACATACAACATCAGGCTGATAAAAGTACAACTAGGGTAGTTGTGAATCATATGGGTCTAGTGATAGACTCTGAAAATAAACACCTAGCAGCAAGCATAGATGGAAAAGTGGCATGTGCCGATGGGTCTGAAAGACTGTTTTGTATTGAAAAAACTTTTACAAAACAACCAGCTCACACCTCAGGCAGCTTCAACTAAAACGAAATCGTTTTGTTTGGAAAAACTTGCAAATTTGAATTGCTTGAGACTGAAAAAGGACAAAAAGTTTTATCATGTTGAGAGGATCTTTAGAGATGAGTCACTATGGAAAACATTATGGTCCCAAAGTTGACTGCCTTCTATTACTCAGCCATACTCCTAGAGTTGGCCGTAGCAAGAAATAGTCTATCCCCGTGATCCAGACAAACCACGGGTAATTAGCTTTCTAGCGTGTGTTCCATCTTTGCAAAATGCAAATTTGTCTCCCAAACATTTAACACTAAAAAAGAATCATTGGTTATAATTGTTATTTTTTAGGTTATTAGCTTTTTCCACATGAAGTAGTTAATTTGTTTGCAATTAGTCATCCAAACACACCAAAACACAGCATACATTTTTTATTTACGAAACTAATATTTATATGAATTTTAGAAAGCAAATGAAGCTTAATCACTTTGATACTAATTAAT